GGGTAATTTTTTCACAGGAAGTATATGCACAATTTATAAAATTCAAAAGGTAAAAACGGAATATATACATTTTCCATTCTTGCCAGAAAGCAAGCTTTCTTAAGGCACCTACTGGTAACTAGATCCTTGTGTATTCAGAGATATTTTATTCACAGAGATGGATGGTGTGTGCATTTAAAAGTAATCAACTTTGAAGATACAGGCTTGGATCTCAGTTGGTAAGCACTTTCCCAGCATATTCAAGGCCCTGACTTTAATCTTTGATACCATAACAAATAAACAGCTTTAAAAAAATAAAAAATAAACAGCTTTGATAAATATTATGTAGACTAAAACTCGACCATTTTAAGCTCATCAGTTCTCAGTGTACAATTTGTTTTGACAAACACATATAGCTCTACAGCTTCTACCACGTTTCTGTTACATCACACACACACACACACACACACACACACACACACACATCTGAAACTCCTGTCCATTTGTTTTTAGTCCCATATCTCCTGCCACTGGAATCATTAATCTGCTTTAAAAAAAAAAAAAAAACAGTTTTAGCTTTACTGAAATGCCAAATAAATGCACTCATATCATATACTATGATGAAATACTTGTCAAATGGGTGTATTAAATGTCTATTAGCCTACATTTGGATTAGGATTTTAAAATTAATTATGTCATACTGGTTCATGAAATGATCGATATTATGTTCGGGTAACATAAATCATAGTTCTTGAGGTCAAATCTTAATGTCATTTGGCATGGGAAACAGTAATTCAGTTTGAAAGGAGCAAAAGATTAAGGCTAAATCACAAGTAAAATTCCATTTAATGCATATGTTTAATTCAAATTGTGTTTTTATTAGCAACCTCTTCCTATAATAGGTTTTGTTTGTTTTTGTCTTTTTTTTTTTTTTTTTTTTGGTTTTTTGGGAAGGGTCTACAGGATGTTCAGAGTCTCACTACTAGATCAGACTCATAGTGATCCACCTGTTCACAGCCTCCTAAGAGCTGAGAATACAGGCGTATGCCACCCACGGCAGGGCAGGCCCAGGTGCCTGCTGACAGGCACTTTAATCCACTGAGCTATTTGGCCAGCCCTTTATCTTGAATCAAGGAAGAGGTTTGTTTTGTTTTGTTGATACTGGGGATTGAACTCTTGCCTGCCAGACAAGTGTTGTACCACTGAGCTACATTCCTGGCCAAGAGTTACAGTAGTGGTTTGTATAGCAGACAATGTTTAGGAAGGGAAATTGTATAATAGGTTTTATTTATTCTTTGACATGGACAGGAAGTCTGTAGGAAGATACAAAATCCCAAATCTGAGATACTTAAAATGTTAAACTTTTTTTTGTTTTTGTTTTGGTTCTTTTATTTGTTTGCTTATTTTGCTACCAGGAATTAAACTCAGGACCTTGAGCTTGCCAGGCAGGCACTGTGGCGCTGAGCTATGTTCTGGCCCAAAATATTAAGTCTTTTGAGTGTGTGTGTGTGTGTGTGTGTGTGTGTGTGTGTTGGTTTTGTTATTATTATTTTGTTTGATACAGGGTATCAATACTTAGTTCAGACTCATAGTAATCCTGTCTCAACCCTCCCCAGTGCTGGGATTACAGGTGTGCATCACCACACCCGGTTTCGTGGCCAGCACAGCATGCAGTGCTGGGGATCAAATTCAGGTCCTTTTGGTTACCATGCAGGTGCCTAGGCTGCTGAGCTATCCCCCTCCCCCCATTCATTCATTTGGTGCAGGATCTCTCTACGAAGGGCTGGGGAGATGGCTCAGTAGAATACACGCTTCCTTGGCAAGTGCAAGGGTCTGAGTTCAATCCCCGGTTCCGCCAAAAAAAGATCTCACTATGCAGTTCAGACTGTGGTGATCCTCCTGTCTCAGCCTCCCCAGTGCTGAGATTACAGGTATGTGCCACCACACCTGGTTTCAGTGGTATAGTTTATAGTACTAGGGAATTAAACCTGGGTCCTGGGGCTGGTGAGATGGCTCAGTGGTCTAAAGCACCTACTTAGAACAAGCTAAGCTCAAGCAAAGCACAGAGACCTCGGTTCAATCCCCCAGCACCACATGCTGGCCCGCCCTCCCCCTGGTGGGCTGAGCTGGCCACACACTAAATAAATAAGTAAATAAATAAATAAATATTTAAAAAATAAAAATAAAAAAAAATAAACCTGGGTCCTTGGGCTTAGACCACTGAGCTATCTTCTTGGGTTTTTTTGTTTTTGTTTTTTCCTTTCTTTCTCTCTTTTTTTTTTTTTTTTTTCTTTTCTTTAAAGAAAAGGTTTTGCTGTGCAGTTCAGTCTGGCCTTGAATTCACCATGTAGTTCAGGTAGGTCTTGAACTCACACTATCTTCTGGGCTTGGCCTCCCAAGTGCTGGAATTACAGATGTGGTCCGTCATAACCACACCTGACTAATGTTCTTAAATATTTCTTAGCCCCAGAACTTTATTCCCCCCAGATTTTATTTGTAAAATCTGTACTATGTTGTACTCCCAAGTTCACATATAGGATAAAATAGTAATGGAAGGGAAGCAAAAGGAAGAAGGAGAATAGAAGGGAAAAAATGGAAACAAAGCTTTCATAAGTAATAGAAGGATTGAGGGAGGGTGTGAGGAATGAAAAATAATCAAGATACAGGAATCATGGCCGGGGAGATAGCTCAGTAGAATAAGCGCTTGCCTGGCAAGCACAAAGGCCTGAATTCAATCCCCGGTTCTGCCAAAAAAAAAAAAAAAAGAAGAGGAGGAGGAGGAATCATGTACAGGAACAGATTTCCTGTGATGAATGTGTTACATATCTCAAAAGCGTATCAATAAATTTAAGTTTTAAAAACAGCATAATTGGTATTCTAAAATGATTGGTTGAATAACTGAGGAAGGGACCTACAGAAAAAAATATGTGCTGTGAATTCAAATATTTGGGTTAATAAAATAATGCCTTTAAAATTTATTAATAAGTAAATAATTTTATTGCATTTTAAAAATAATAGATTTTACCATGCTTTTTTAGTTTTGTATTTAGTACAGGGTCTATAGGGTCTCACTACACAGATCCAACTTGTAGTGATTCTCATTTTCAGCCTCCTGAGCACTGGGATTACAGATGTGAACCATGACATCCAGTCCCAATCTTGCTGTCTCAGCGCACCCTGGGGGTGGGGCTGGCATGGCACGCTGGTAGTTGAACCCCCATCTCTGCATCTACCTAAGCAGGTGTTTTAATCTGCTGAGCTCTCTGCCTGGCCTCCTTTTCTTACTGGGATTTTTTTTTTTTTTTTTTTTTAGAGCAGAACTTATTTATTTGGGGAAAGAAAGCTTCTGTCTGAGAGAGGGACAGAAGGGGACCAGAGGTGGGAAACATGGGAACTCACTAGATGGACATGAAACTGTTTTTACTGTTATTCTTTGAAACCAGGACCCTTTTAAGATTTATTTTTATTTTTTGATGGGGTCTCAGTAAGTCAGGGTTGCCCAAGCTGAGCTTGAGCTTGTGATCCTCTGCCTTAGTCTCCCAGAGTGCTGGGTTGCAGGCCTGTGCCACCATACCCAGCTTTTTTTTTAGCCAGGGTCTCATGCAATTTGGGCTGGCCGTGTGCTCACTTTTGTAGCCCCCAAGCTGGTTTTGAAGGCACAGTGATCCTCCTATGTCAGCCTCCCAGAATGTTGAGATTACAAGCATGCACCACCATGCCCGGTTCCTTTGCCAAAATTCTTAGAACTTGTTTTTATTTCAAAAACCAGGCATATTCCAAGCCCTGGATTTCAGATGAAAAAGAAAAATACAGGAGTATTTGCCTAACATTCATGTGGCCCTGTGTTTGATCCCCTACAACAAAAGGGGAGGGAAAGCCTGGTGTGGTGGTGACATATCTGCAATTCTTTCACATGGGAAACTGAGGCAGGATTGCTGTGAGTTTGAGGCCAGCCTGCACTGTACACTTGAGACCTTGAATATTCAACTGTAGTCCAATACTGGGGAAGCTGAGACAGAAGGATTGCTTCAGCTGACGAATGTAGGACATCCCTGAGCAACATAATGAGATTGCATCTAAGAGGGCGGGGGAGGAAAGATGGGGAGGCTGGGGTTATAGTGCACTGGTAAAATCCCTTGTCCCACATGTGGCAGACCCTGAGTTTGAGCCCTAGTACCATTAAAAGCAAAAATTATCCCCTGCCTCCATGATTGAACTTGGTTTCCTCCAGCCTATTAGGCAAGCACTCTATTACTGTGCAATAAGAGTCAACACCTAGAGAGTGGGCATGGTGGTGCGTGCCTGTAATCCCAGCTCTTGAGAGTCTGAACACAGGCAGATCACTACGAGTCTGATCTATGTAGTAAGACTCTGTAGACCCTTACTAAAAGAGAGAGAAAAAAAAAAGAATCAACACTAGGCCAGGCATGATAGTGCATACCTGCAGTCCTAGCACTTGGGAGACCAAGACAGGAAGATCATCTTAAGTTGAGGCCACCCTGAACTAGGGAGGGAGACTGTCACTTGCCAGGCAAGTGGTTATTCTACTGCACCATCTCCCCAGCCCCACTCCTTTTATTTTGTTTGTTTGTTTGTTTTCTTTTTTGGAGGAACCGGGGATTGAACTCAGGCCCCTGCGCTTGCCAGGGAAGCGGTTATTCCACTGAGCCATCTCCCCCTGAGCCATCTCCCTGCCCCCACTCCTTTGTTGTTGTTGGTGGTGGGGTTTTTTTTGCTCCTCGAATGACTTCAGTTCACTTTTGGCTAGCTGGAGGGTTGTGGGGATGGAACTACAGCAACCTGAGGCTGACAGCTTTGTGGAGCAAGCCACTTAAAGAACTGAGCTAGGACCAGGCCCCCAGCTAGGGCCAGCCCCCCCCCCCCACTCCTTTGATTTTGAAGGAATGATACTAAAAGAACTTTGCCAGTAAGTAAGGCAAAGATTATTGGTAAAAATGTAAACTTAGTAACAATGTAAAGTTACGTTTATATTGAATAAATTTCTTTGTTTTTTTCTTAAGGAGTTGAATGATCTGGCACGGGACCCACCAGCACAGTGTTCAGCAGGTCCTGTTGGAGATGATAGTAAGTGCTTACATGGAATTACGGTGTAAACTCTGCAGTACTGTACCTTTGGGGACCTCTGAATAAACAGCTATCTCTCAAGGTTACTTTGTATGGAAAGATAACTTGCTGCAGAAAGGGGGCAGTGTACTGTGAGAGGCCTCTTCGTGTGCCTCTATTCATCTTCTGTTTATCACATTTGGAATCTCTTCTGTTCAGTGTTGCCTTTGTAGTTCTGGTTTCTTTCTTTCTGTCCTTCATCCTTTCTAGGTATTTCCCAGATATAAAGTAATGAAAGCTTCCAGGTATGGTGGTACATGCCTGTAATCTTTGCACTCAAGGCTTATGAAGGAGGGTCACCATGAATTTGAGTTCAGGACCTACCTGGACTACACCGCAAAACTCTGTCTCAAAAGTAAAGAAACAAAATACTTGAGACATTGTCTGGGTGACCTAGTGTGCTCAACTGTCTTTCTACTTTTTTTTTAAATGTATTTGTTATAGGGTCTCACTACACAGTTCAGACTTGTAGTGATTCTCCTGTTTTCAGCCTCCCTAGCACTGCAATTACAGGTGTGCACCACCACACCCAGTCTTGGTGGCTGGTTCAATTGGGGGGGGGGGGCGCTTGTGGTGCTGGGGCCTGCACTTGCCTAAGCAGGCACTTAGTCCACTAAATTGTCTTGCTGGCCCTTGTCTTTTTACTGTTTCATACTTGTAAAATCAAGTATAATTTTATTAGTAGTACTAGGAATTGATCCCTGAGCCTTCACACTGAGCTACATCCTAGCTTCCTTCTTCTCTTCTCTTCTCTTCTCTTCTCTTCTCTTCTCTTCTCTTCTCTTCTCTTCTCTTCTCTTCTCTCTTTCTTTCTTTCTTTCTTTCTTTCTTTCTTTCTTTCTATTAGTGTATGGTTACAGTACATAATTACTGATACTATTCATCATGGGACCTTTTCAATTTTTATTTTATTTTATTTTATTTTATTTTATTTTATTTTATTTTGAGACAGTGTCTCACTGTGTAGTGCAGGCTGGCTGTGAACTATGTACCCTAGACTGGCCTAGAGCATAGCATTATGTCAGTCTCAGCCTCCCACTGCTACCTTTACAGGCATGTGCCACCACACCTAGAGAGTTCTAAATGTTGATGCAGCCTACTTTTTTTTTCTGTTAGTATTTGTGCTTCCAGGGAAATAATCTTTGTGTGTGTGTGTGTGTGTGTGTGTGTGTGTGTGTGGCCAGCTCAGCCCACCAGGGGGCGGGGCTGGCTGGCATGTGGTGCTGGGGGATTGAACCGCGGTCCCTATGCTTTGCTAAGCTTGTTCTAAGTAGGTGCTTTAGACCACTGAGCCATCTCACCAGCCCAGGAAATAATCTTTAGGGTAGTAATTTTTTGTTTGAGAAAGGTATATTGTAGTATAAACAGTAGTAGAAGAAAAGATAAATTGCTATAACAAGGTGAAGAAAATTTTTAAAGTAAAATTTAATTTACAGACTATTTTTAAAGATTCTTAGCCACAGTTAGCTCAGTGGATTAAAGCGCCTGCTTAGGGAAAGCACAGTGACCCAGGTCCGCATGCCATGCTGCCCTGCCCCCGGAGAGTACTGAGACAGCTATTGAGACTGGCCATGGTGGCATGTGCCTGTGATCCCAGTGCTTGGGAGACTGAAAACAAGAGAATGACTACAAGTCTGATCTGTGCAATGAGACCCTGTAGACCCTGTACTGAATACATTAAAACAAAAAGATCATTAGCCAAGCTATGCAAGGTAGCACACATCTGTAATCCAAGCTCTTGGAGACAGAGACAGGAGGATTTTGAGAGTTCAAAGCCAGCCTGGTCTACATAGTGAGATCCTGTCTCCAAAACAAACAAACAAACAAAAAAGGTATGTATGTGTGTATGTATTTGGTAATGGGTCTCATTTACACAGGTCGGACTGATAGTGATCCTCCTGTTTTCAGCCTCCCCAGTGCTAGGATTACAGGCATGTGCCACCATGCCCAGCTTCAAAAAATTTTTTAAAAAGATCATCAGTTTGAATGCCAGGGAGGTGGCTCAGTGGAATAAGCGCTTCCCTGGCAAGCGCAAAGGTCTGAGTTTAATCCCCGGTTCTGCACAAAAAAAAAAAAAAAAATCAGCCTTTCTGAATTTGGAGAAATTTGACCTGTACATGGTGACCACTCCTATGATCCTGGCACTCTGTGAAGCTAAGGCAGGAGGATCTAAGTTTGAGCCCACCCTGGGCAACTCATTGAGACCCTATTTCAAAAAATAAGAGCTAGGGATATAGCTCAGTAAGAAGGCCCTGAGTACAGTGCCCAGTTCTGGGGGTGGGGGAAGACACACCTTAAATCCTCATCTTTCTTTTCAGCTTTGAATATCTTTCAGTCAGATACTAAGTTGTCAATATAACTTCTCAGAAAGTGGGGGAGGGGCTGGATATAGTGGTACATGCCTGCCAATCACAGCACTTGGGAGACTGAACTGGGAGGAGATCCATGAGTTTGAGGCCTGCCTGTGTGAAATGACTTTAAGATTGAATCAGTATGAATGGGGTTTGCCAATAAACATATACTTAAAAAATTTGTGAATGTTTGAAGCCATGTGTGTGTTTGGAAACATTGTCTTCCTAGGCTGACCTCCCAATTCATGGCAATCCTTAGTGCTAGGATTACAGATATTGCTACCTAAAAAATGCTTGTTGGGGCATGGTGACACATGTCTGTAATCCTAACACGCAAGAGACTGAGCCTGGAGGATCATCTTTTTTTTTTTTTTTTTTCAGGGTCTCACTACTAGATTGGACTCGTAGTGATCCCCGTTTTTTTTTTTTTAATATTTATTTATTTTTATTTATTACATTTATTTATTGTGTGTGTGTGTGGCCAGCTCAGCCCACCAGGGGGCAGGTCTGGCTGGCATGTGGTGCTGGGGATCGAACCGCGGTCCCTGTGCTTTGCTAAGCTTGTTCTAAGTAGGTGCTTTAGACCACTGAGCCATCTCACCAGCCCTGGAGGATCATCTTGATATCAAGGCCAGCCTGAAATACATGGCAAGACCCTCTCTCAAAAAAAAAAAAAAAAAAAAAGGGCTGGTGAGATGGCTCAGTGGTCTAAAGCACCTACTTAGAACAAGCTTAGCAAAGCATAGGGACCGCGATTCAATCCCCCAGCACCACATGCCAGCCAGCCCCGCCCCCTGGTGAGCTGAGCTGGCCACACACACACACATAAATAAAAATAAAAATATTAAAAGAAAGAAAAAAAACTTGATCATGTCTTCCTGGTAAAAGTATAAATGGGTAACTAAATGCTTTTTATCATCTCACTTTTTTGTTAGAAAACTGTCAGAATTTAAGTTTGTGAGGAGAAAGAAACTTTAGCCAGAATAAAACTTTTGAACTCCTTTAGACTGTTCTAGTACTTAAATCCCTCAGTACATTATTGATACTCAGTGTAAGAATAAGGTGGATACTGCTGCTTTGTATTAAACTACTGTACTGACATTTTATATTAAATATTTTTCCCACTTTATTCAGCAGTCTGGTAAGCAGGAAGAAATGTACTTCCAGAAAAAAGTAAACTGAAGATTTATAAATGGTTGTGTAACCTGCTTCATTTTCTTCTGTTTTGAATATTTACAAAAATTACTCTCTCAGGGCTGGCCAAATGGCTCAGCAGATTAAAGTGCTTGCAAGCGGGTGCACGGGCTGGGGGTTCCATCGCCAGGCCTGCCGTGGTGGTGTATGCCTGTTATCCCAGCTCTTGGGAGGCTATAAACAGGCGGGTCACTACAAGTCCGATCTAGTAGTGAGACCCTGAACACCCTGTAGACCCTTCCCTAAAAAATACAAAAAAAGAAAAAGAAAAATGACTCTGTACATTCAAGTGTAGGACTCTAGGGATTTAGTCTCAAAACATGTATTCTCACTATCCCTTCTAACCTCAGACTTTTATCCACAGCACCACAGAGTAATTATTGAGCTCAGAACCTGACATTTAAATGCACATTTAACAGATTATAGCTTTCAGTTTGTGTAATTTGGTTTGACAGTATCAAACCAAGGTAGTAGTAGTAGTAGAAGCTTGGTTTTGGGTTTTTTGCTATCAAAATTGTTTGGGTGCTGGGAGCATAGTTTATTAGTAATTTACTTGGCTAGTGTGTACAAGGCCTTATAAGGGGGAACCTGTCTTTGATTGGGGGGGTAGTGTTCATTTTTTGTCTTTCAGGTAGGGTCTCACTATGCAGTTCAGGCTGGCCTTGAGCTCACTAGTAGTCTCTAAAGTTGCAACAATGCTCTTGCCTTAGCCTTCCAAGTGCTGATATTACAGGTGTGCACTACCATACCCAACTATAATATCTAATATTAATCCTTAAGTAAAATAAAATATTTTATGTAAATGGTCATATAAATACAGCAATGTTATGCTTATGAATGGACAAATATTTAACTTTCTCTAGTTATTTTTACATGGAACTTTTATTGATTCTCAAACTTTACAAAATAATGTAATTTGATACAGATTATTTATTCTTACCTCCTCTCGTTTTGTTTTACTTTGCTCTGCTCTCCCCTCCCCTCTGCTCTGCTCTCCTCTGCTTTCCTCTAGTCCTAGGGATTGAACTCAGTGCATTCACCCTGTGAACTACAGTCTTTCAGGTTTTGGTTTTTTTTTTTTAAGATAGGATCTTGCTAAATTGCCCAAGAGTGCTGGAACTTGGGATTCTTCTGCCTCATCTTCTCAGAGTAATGTGAAATTGCCTTGGAGTGTTACAGCACATCTGGCCCTTTTTATCTAGATTTTCACTTATGAGAGACAGGAGTCTAACAGGGTTCCAGAGGGAGACCTGTCAATAATTCTAGTAGATGTTCTTATATTAACTAGTGTGACAAAATACTTAAGATCTATATATTTGTTTATTTGGTGCTAATAATTAAATCCAGAGCCTAAAAATGTTAAGTCTTGGCTCTAGCACTCATCTTATAACCGCACCTCATGTACAAGTTAAATTGTATGGGCCGGGCGTGGTGGCACATGCCAGTAATCTCAGCACTGGGGAGGCTGAGGCAGGATTGTGGCAAGTTTGAGACCAGCCTGGGCTACAAAGTGACTCAAGGCCAGCCTGAACTGTATAGCAGGATCCTGTCTCAAAAAACTGGGTTGGGGGGGGGATTTAAATTGCAGGCCTAGGGGCCGGGGAGATGGCTCAGTGGAATAAGTGCTTCCCTGGCAAGTGTAAGGGCCTGAGTTCAATCCCTGGTTCCACTCAACAAACAAACAAATAAATAAATAAATATTGCAGGGCTTCAGGTCTTTCTTTCTTTCTTTCTTTCTTTCTTTCTTTCTTTCTTTCTTTCTTTCTTTCATTATTGAGGGCCGGGGAGATAGCTCAGTAGAATAACCACCTGTGTGGCAAGCACAAAGTCCTCAGTTCAATCCCCAGCACTGCAGAAAAAAATAAAGGGGCTGGGGAGATGGCTCAGTAGAATAAGTGCTTGGCCCGAGTTCAGTCCCCAGTTCTGCCAAAATAAATAAATAAATATTAAATTATTGATTGATGTGGTACAGGGTATCATTATGCCTGTCTCAGCCTCCCCAGCACTGAGATTACAAGCATGTGCCACCATGCCCAGGTTCCAGGGCCAGCAAAACACTGTGGTACCAGGGATCAAACTCAGGTCCTTAACCTTGGCGGGCAGGCACTTAGACTACTGAGCTAGCTCCCCAGTCTCAGATAGTCTACTTTTTCTCAATGAGTTTGTGTTTTGCTGCCTTTTGTTTTGTGTATTTTAGGCCATTTTTATGAGAGATCTGTTTGCTCCAGTAGCACTTTTCTTCTTTTGCCTCGTGTATTTTAAAGACTACCCTCTGTGTTTGCTTAAGTGAGGACAAAATGGCTACATTTAAATATGAATGGATTTGTACTTAGAGCTTTGATGCCTTTGATGGGGGGGATTTTTTTTTTTAAGGGAAGGGTCTGCAGGGTGTTCAAGGTCTCACTACTAGATCGGATTCATAGTGATCCACCTGTTCACAGCCTCCCAAGAGCTGGAATTACAGGCGTGTGCCACCACACCCAGTCTTGGGGGAATTGTATTTGAGACAAGGTCTTACTTTGCAGTTCAGGCTGGCCTCAAATTTACACAGTCCTCCTGCCACAGCCTGACAAATGCTGGCGTTACAGGTATGTGCCATCACACCTTGATGCCAATGAATTTTGTTTAGTTCTGTTGCAGTCTTAAACATAATGATCAGTGCATAATATTCACATACATAGAAATGTCACAATGAATCCTATTTATAAAAGTAATTTATTTTGGCAATTACAAAACAAATGATTGACAAACTAGATATGAATTACAAGTGAATTAATCTGTCAGTGTTGCTTATAAGAGTTAATTCTTTTTTTTAATATTTATTTATTTTTATTTATTACATTTATTTATTGTGTGTGTGTGTGGCCAGCTCAGCCCACCAGGGGGCGGGGCTGGTTGGCATGTGGTGCTGGGCGATCGAACCGCGGTCCCTGTGCTTTGCCAAGCCTGTTTCAAGTAGGTGCTTTAGACCACTGAGCCATCTCTCCAGCCCAAGAGTTAATTCTTAATAAAAGTTTTGTAAAATGTACTGGAAAAGCTAGGTAAGGTAGCACATGCCTATAATTCCAGGACTTGGGAGGCTGAGACTGAAGGATCACTGTGAGTTTGAGGCCAGCCTCAGCTACAGAGTGAGACCCTGTCTTCAGAACAAACAAAAAATAAAATACACTAGAAAACCTTCAACTTTTTGAAGCATGAAGATAGTACAATATTCCTTGAAAATAGGAAATAAATAAAAAGAAAACAGGGAGATTATTCTTCCCTCATCTTTTTAAAAAATTATTTATTTGTTTGTTTTGTGTGTGGCCAGCTTAGCCCACCAGGGGGCAGGTGGGCTGGCATGTGGTGCTGGGGGATTGAACCGTGGTCCCTGTGCTTTGCATGGCTTAGCTTGTTCTAAGTAGGTTCTTTAGACCACTGCGCCATCTCACCAGCCGTTTTATCAGGGAAAAGAGTATCCTTCCCATAATTGGAGGTATTCTGTTTGTCAGTTTGTCAACATATCTATACCAAGACTGTTGAGAATTCTGTGTTGTCCCATAGTAGTTGATAGATTTTGATCCTAGAGCATAACATATGCTTTGCTTGCTATTAGGAAGAATATGAAATCAAAAAAGTATTTTACTGTTACCTAAGAACTTGTTTAGCATTAGGGGGTGGAAGGGTACTGGGGGTTGAATGCCAGCCTCAGTGCATGCTAGACTTTATACTCCACCACAGAGCAATATCTGGAGTGTTAATGCACAAGTAGGAGGCACACACTTTTTTTGGGGGGGGTTGATAATCTTACTAAATTCAGGCTGACGTAAAACTTATAATCCTCATATTTCTACCTCCCAGATGTGGGAGCTAGCCTATCTCACTGTGTCTGGCTAGATTCTTAATAATTACATAACTTTAATAGTATTTATAGAAGATTTGAAAAGGAGCCAGGAATGATAGTATAGGCCTGTAATCCCATAGCTCAGGAGGCTGAGGCAGGAGGATTGCCATAAATTCGAGGTCGAGGTCAGTTTGGGTTATGTAATGAATTCAAGGATAGCTTGAACTATATACTGAGACCGTATCTTCAAGGAAAAGATTTCATTGATCTTAAAAAGGCTAGAAATGGACTAGGAAGATAGCTTAGCAGTCTAAGTGCCTGCCTGGTAAGCCCAAGGACCCGAGTTTGATCCCTGGAACCGCATGCTGTGCTGGCCTTGGAACCCCAAGGGGCCTGTAATCCCAGTGCTTGGGGAGGCTGAGACCGGAGGATCACTGCAAGTCTGAACTGCGTGGTGAGACCCGATATCAAAAAAATAAAAATAAGGGGCCGGGGAGATGGCTCCGTGGAATAAGCACTTACCTGGTAGGTGCAAGGGCCTGTGTTCAATCCCTGGTTCCAAAAAAATAAATAAATAAAAATTTAAAAAAATTTTAAAAGGCTAAGTACTTAAAATGGCTAATGGAAATTTTTATTTTATTTTTGGTACCAGAGATCAAACTTGGGACCTTGCGCTTGCCAAGCAGGCACTTCTACCGCTGAGCTATTTCCCTAGCCCCAGAAAATTTAATTTTTAAAACTAAATACTTCTGTATTTTTATGAGTTGAATGTTTTCTCATTTATTGTCTTATCTGATACTTAAATCCCAAGTATGATAGCGGTGTACTTAATATCCTTCAAGTTTTAGCCATTGATTTAAGTTATATAAAAATACTAAATAAAATAGGTCTATTGCCTGGTTGGTCATCCTTTTAACACTGTTTTTAGGGTTTTATGATGCTTGTTATTTCCTTCTATATAATTCTATATATGTAAATTCTATTATTTTATATATTATACATACATATTTGTTCTATATTTGTAATTAAAAGTATAAGGAGGCTGCTGCCTTAAGCATGATATTAAAGGGATTTTAGAGGACTTTTTATTATGAATCAAAGGCTAGTCTATAGTGGCTCAGAATGGCTTTCTTTGCCTAGCATGATGGTGTAGGCCTTCCTGTAATCACAGCACTTGGGAGGCTGAGGCAGGAAGATCAGAAGTTCAAGGCTAACCTGAGCAGTCTATATTAAGGAAGTTTTAAAGGAACTTTAGAACTTGGACTCATCCACTGGATTTTCACATGGCTTGGATTGAACCTAAGGCCTTTGCCTTGACCTTCATTCCCAACCCCCCCCTTTTTTTTTTTTTTTTTTTTGTGCTTTGCAGAACCAGGGATTGAACTCAGGGCCTTGCGCTTGCCAGCGAAGCGCTTATTCCACTGAGCCATCTCCCCGGCCCCCACCCCCACCCCCATTTTGAAATAGGGTCTTGCTAAGTCAGGGTCTTGCTAAGTCGATTAAGTTGCCCAGCCTAGGGATTCAGACTTGAATGGCTACCTCAGTGTCCCCGAATGCTGGGGTTATAGGTGTACATCACCAAACCCAACTCCTTTTACTTTGTTTTGTGATTTTTTTTGACAGAGTCTCTATGTAGTTCAAACTGTTCTTTAACTCACTGTGTTGTACAGATCAGCCTCAAATTCATGGCGATCCTCCTGCCTCAGCCTGTCAGTGCATACTGTGCCTGGCTCCATGTACTTTTAAATTGAGTACCTTAGGGCTGATGAGATAGCATAGCAGACCTAGCACCTGCTGAGGCACATGCAGGGACCACAGTTTGATCCCCAGCACCACATGGCCATGCTGGCCTCCGCTCCTGGGTGCACTGAGCTGGCCACCAAGCCCTGGTGTGGTGGCACATGCCTATAATTCCAGCACTGGGGAAGTAAAAAAACAGGAGGGTAGTGAGACCCCATACCAAAAACATAGCATAGTATAGCATAGCATAGCATAGCATAGCATAACATAACATAACATGAGTACCTTATCATATTCTAGGTCCCTACAGACTGAATTAGGTTTCTCATCCTCTTATACTTACTATCATACCTTTTATGAATGAACTTGACTAGATTGAGGTATAGGAACAATGTGGATAACTTAGTAATTTTTTTCTTGTTCTTTTTCAGTGTTCCATTGGCAAGCTACAATAATGGGACCAGTAAGTATTCAGGTTAATTTTAGCATAAATAGTGTATGCCATTCACTCATTTTAATTCCTTTTTTTTTTTTTTTTATCATTGACAGAATGATAGTCCCTATCAGGGTGGAGTATTTTTCTTGACAATTCATTTCCCAACAGATTACCCCTTCAAACCACCTAAGGTAATTGGAATATGACAATTGCTTTGAATGTGCTGTGTGATGTTAATAAACCAATTTACAAAGGTTTTTCTTTTTCTGTAGGTTGCATTTACAACAAGAATTTATCATCCAAATATTAACAGTAATGGCAGCATTTGTCTTGATATTCTACGGTCACAATGGTCTCCTGCACTAACTATTTCAAAAGGTAATAGATGATGTGTTTAATACAGAACTGTGGCTTTGTTATAAGGTATTTTGGTTTGTGGAGTTTTGTTTATTTGTTACTGGGGATTGAACCTAGGGTCTTCACACTGAGATACATTTTGTTTTATTTTTATTTTGAGACAGTGTCTTGCTGAGTTACTAAGTTGCCCAGGTTTGACTGTCCTGTCCTTCCTCAGTTTCCCAGAGTGCTGAAATCACATGCATATATCACCACACCTATATTCCTTGTAATAGGAAAAATTTGTCATAGTGTAAAATAAAACATTAGGGGTTTTTGTTTTTTTAGCAGTCTCCCTTACATCTGAAATAGACATAGGGCAGCTGGAAAGAGGTGGATTTTCTAACATGGCCATTGTTTAGTGTGGTGACTGATTTACTGTGCTATTGAAGGAAAAGCAGGAAGGTAAGCATTTGGTGTGAAGGGCTTTTTAAGGCCAAAAAGTAGAAGCTGGACATGGTACATGCTTAGGAGAGTAAAGCAGGAAGATCACAAGTGTGAGGCCAGCCTGGGAAATTTAGCAAAATTTTCTATCGAAGTAAAAGATGAGAAGCGCTAGGATATAACACAATGTTCGGCCTTGAGTTGGTTCCCCAGTGTGATACACACACACACAGAACGCGCAGTTACTATAATGAACATTGTCTTACAAGTTGATCTGAAATTGCGACCTTTTTGCCTGCTGTCTAGTGGTACACACCTTTAATCCTAGCACATGGGAGGCTGAAGCAGGAAGATTGCCATTAGTTCAAGGACAGCCTTGGCTACACAAGACTTTCTCAGAAAAACAAAACAACAAAAAAAAAAACCCAGTAGTAATAGATATCAGTTCTTATCCATGCATCTAAGAGTATTCATCCTTATAGCTAATATGGGAAAATACTATGAAAAAAGAGAAAATTGTATGTGTTGTAAGGTGATTTATACAGAAAAGTATGTTAATTGGCTAGAAATAGACAAGGTGAGTTTTGGTAGTTGGGTAGTGAATTCTGTTTGTTTGTTTGTTTGTTTTCCTTGTCTTTTTGAGACAAAGTGAGCCTTAAGCTCACTTTATAACCCAAGCTGGTTTCAAACTCACAATGATCCTCCTTCCTCAGCCAAGTGCTGGGATTACATGTGTGTGCCACCACACCTGACTTACTGCTGTTATTTTTGTTTTGGAGAGGGCTCTTCTTCTCTTTTCAGAGTTCTCTTTTTTCAGAGTTAGGGTCTCACTTTGTAACCCAGGCTTCACCACTGAGTGCTGGTATTATAGGCATGTGCCACTATTTCTGGCTAGTAATTAGTGATTTTTTTTCTTCTGTATTTTAGGGAAGGGTCTACAGGGTGTTCAGCATCTCACTACTAGATCAGACTCATAGTGATTCTCCTGTTTACAGCCTCCCAAGTGCTGGGATTAACAGGCATGCGCTACCACGCCCAGTCACAATCGCCATTTCAGCCTGCCATGGAAGTGGGGCCAGCACAGCAGGCCTGGGGATGGAACGCCTGGCCCCTGCGCCTGCTTGCAGGCACTTTAATCCACGGAGCTATTTGGCGAGCCCAATTAGTGAATTCTGACATACAAAAAATATTTTTATGGGGCCGGGACGTGGCTCAGAGGAATAAGAGCTTCCTTGGAAAG